CTTAGTCAGATCTGGATTCCCACCCTTTAAAGCATACAAGATAATGAACTAAAAGTCATTGATCTCAAGGCATAGAAAATAACTTAATGTAGACTTAACTCATCTACGACAATCCTTTGATAACAAGAAGTCAAAATAACTTAGGGCGCAAATAATCGACTTAAACACACTTGTTCTACATCTGCCATACTGAGATGACAGTGGCACGCCGAAGCACTTAGTTAGTTTTAATTGTGAGCCTCAAGGCCTACACCTAAGGCCCCACAAATGCACCTTTCAAAACTAACTATGTTCTCCTCTTGTCAGCCTCTCAACAAGCAGGAGCCCGACAAACAACCAAAGTGCCAACTCCTCGAGGAGCTGTGTGCTCGCGCCAGGGATCCTCCCCAGCGAAATTCCTGTCCGAACAGAAAGAATGTATATAATTAGGGCTATATTACTAATAGTATGTTGTTTTAGGTTTTATTTTAATCATTTGTTTTAAGTAGTCGTTTGGCTTCTAAACCCAAACCTTGCAAGGAAGTGAGATGGGAGATTTGGGCCTTACCATTGAGTTGGTTCTGTGCTCAACTCGAATGGTTGTCTTGACTAATCAGATTCAGATTAGGGCCTTATATCCATTGATGTCCCTTCAATATTTAAGGCTTCTCATAAACATACAAACAAATATCTTACCCCATAAGGCCTATATAATTTATCAAAGCACAAAACCCTGTAAGCACTGCACCTGTCAAACATGTAGTGCACTTGTAAAATATTGTTCCAGCCTCATGAATAATAGTATAATACAACACGCCAAAGAAAAAAAGTGATAAAAATCAAGGAAACCCAGATGGGAAGCCAAAAAGCTTGAAAACAAATTGATGTGGGGGGGTAACAAACTGAAACTGCTGCAAATATTGAGGTCAATGCAGTTTATGCTTTTGTTTCCTATTCCATTCCGTTCGTGCTCGTATTATCTCCACCTTATCGGCCTGCATCCGAAGAAGGTGTGTGTATTCTAAGTCTGGTCTACGATTGATGGAGTTGTTCTTGAAGTTGGAGTCATCAGCCAAACTTGATGTTGTACTTGTTAGGGACTCTAGCAAATTTGATTGCCTACATTCACGTCTATACTCCAATGTCATGCTTGTGAGATCATAATCTCCTAACACATTGATGGGCACACTCTGCTCATGAAAACCCAAATTAAGTGTGTGTTAGTAACACTCATTATGTATGTAACAATGTAGCTAAGGTAAAGATGCAAAATGTTCTGTTGCCGGACTTTCTATCAAGACTCCATACTAGGAATCTGAACCATTGATCAAGTGGATTCTTGTCTGAATATGTGACCTAGATTCACAATCTGACAACATAAGCATTTGTTTGGCTAGGCAAGTTTCGCATGAGAACATCATCCACTAGCTTGTGTTATTTAACTTATTTTTCGGTGCTTTCAAGATTTGTGCATTAGTCTAGTGAAATACCTCTAAAATCCATCCAATGTACTTCACATTGTTAACATGCTGGTTGGCATCCATGTCGCTCCATCTTGGCTGGATTAATTGCAGGCAAAGAATGAGTTAATTAATATAAAAAAAACTATTATATTAACCAATTATTGTATGAAATGAAACGTAAACTCAAAAGTTTGTTGACCTAATATTTCTACTTACTGCTAAACCTGACGTGATCCTCTCTGCAGTATCGTCGTTGAGCTTGTCGATTTTCTCGCTGTCATTTTTCTCTGTAGCAATTGCAAATCTGTTTAGGTAGAATGGTAACACCTCTTGCCTCACTTGGTCAGGTATCTTGGACAGCCTTCTTGTCTCTCTGTTCATGATCACCCAGGTGCTGCATGAGGATAATGTACGAAATCAGGTGATTAGAAGATATTTAAACTTGGAATAAAACGCTAATATAATTGGTTCAATTACAGTAAGTAAAAGATTACAGACCTTGTAGCTCTGGTAATGATTTCTTGTGTTTGGTAGTCTCGGATAATCCAATCTCTTCGCATTCCGTTTTTGCCTGCTGCATCCACCCAAGTATCGATTTCGACCACATCTCCCCTGTCACATAGCATTTTTTGCACATGGCCTGTGTGAGAGGTTTGAACTTGTACACATAAAGTTCAGTTAAGCTTAAAGTTGTATTCATATTTCTACAATACAGGCATATGAGTAACGTAGAGGAACCACTTTTTTTTTAGTCCATTTTATCATTATTAGTCACATACCAGGAGCTATATCTATGTACTTGAATGTGGATCCGTGTGACGACCCAAATGAGCTTCCGGATGCTCATCTCACGGGTAGCCCCAAATCCATTTCCGGCAAGGCCGGAACTTGTCACATGATTTAGAGCTGTCTCCTGCCCCCATAAACCATATATATAAAGGTTACTAAGTGCAATGAAAGTACATATAAATCCAAATAATTCATGATTAATATCTCCTAATTAAGGACAAAATTTCATTATTTGAATAATAGGTAAACTTTTTGTTCCTTTAAATCAAAAGCTTAAAAATAAAAAATAAAAAATAAAAAAGCACCTGAAGGAGATTCATTAGGGTTTCCATGGTGGCAGTTTTGTCAGGTCCAATCTCATAAGACCTAATAACAAAGGTCTGCCTATAAACAAACCTCTCCTCCACAAACTTTCCATGCAAAGAGGAATGAGGAGGTGAACCGCCGTCACCATTAATCAGCTCTATACTATTCTTGTTTCCAAATAATTTAGCCTCTCCCACATGAACACCATTGACCTTCCCATTGATTGTCTCCACGCTTCTAGGAGTTCCACCGGCACCGGCCCTCACCACAAAGTTTCCATTTTTTCTCTTGATCATTGCTACATGCCTTGAAGGATAACACCCTAATTTCGTCCCCGTCTCATTCTTCTTCCCCACCTTGAACACGTCCCCAGGGAGGCGTAGTGTGGCGATATTATTAGTTCTTGCTGCCATTGATGCCATAATAATCTCTAAGCGCTCATTTGGGTTATCAGATATTTTGGAAACAAATAAACCCAACAAAGTTCAAGTTTGATAAAGGAGGGTGGCGAAGCTTTTAGCACTTGTTGTCTTGTGGAAGATCAAAGAAAAAATTGCCAAATATTAGTATTAGGTGCAACGACTAATTGGAAGGAATAGGAGATCTAGTTATACAATTTAGAACAAAGAATGAAGCTAAAAGGGGAACATTTTGTGCTTGAAAGTTTTAGGTCAACCACTTCTATGGGTGGGGGAGAAATGGGGAGGTTTGCACCAGTGGCTTGCACGCTAATGTTTTGAATGGTGTTTTTGTGCATGTTTACAAGGGAGTTATTAATAATATATTAATTGGACAATAGTAATTTTGGATTAATAACTCTACCACCAATCATGTTGTTTAATTTGGTCTTGCTATCATGATATGCTAGAAAAAAGGTATGCCTCTAAATAATAAGCCTTTTAAATCGTTGTGTTGGTAATCTGTCTTCCAATTTTAGGCATGAAGAGTATCTGACTTTTATGGAGATGCTTTCGGTCAAGTAATAAAATTTTCACGTCAATAAAGCTCAATTGCAATAGTGACACAAGTTGGGCATCAAAACCCCAAATAAGAGTTAACCCACATTATTGGGTAAGGTAAGGCTGCCATGGTGTAATTCGACATCATTTGTTGGTGTCATTTGAGAGAAGGCTTCACTAAGCTTGTTGATTGTTGGACCTCCATATGGGAATAAATGAAAGCCTTCATGTTCACGTTTCTCATTTATGTATCAAGTTCAAATTAAGCATCCTCAAGGAGAAGCGATGGGTTCGCAGGAGAATACTTTGTTGTCCTTTAGTCAGCTCCCAAGTTGTTGGTTTGACATTTTTTTTTTTTAGTGTCAAACGATAAATATGTTAGATTAGATGTTAGATTAAGAAATTGACGGGGTTCGAATTCACACCATAGTGCAAAAACAACACTCTTCTCCACTATTGTGGTAGAGGGTCACTTGTGTTGGTTTGATGTTTCAATCAAGTTTTTCCAACACCTCAAGATGGTTGAAGATAATGCCATGATGTTGAATAATGTCTAAAGATCATATGAGTTCGACCCATAAATGTAGCAAATTAGAGCTTTTGGTATTAGACCTAAAATACATGGTGCTGAGTTTTTAGAAGAGTTGTGTTGTTATCCGCATGTTTTTTTTACTTTCTTCATATCTTTTTTAATTTTCATACGTCATATCGAATAAATTAAAAATGATCAAATAACAAAAATTAATATAAAATATACGAATAACAATACTTTTTAAGAAATTTTTTGTTTTAAAGTCAGAGTATGTTTTTCTATTTGAAATATATATTTCCCGATCCAATGTAAAAGGGGGATAACACATTAACACTGGTATCGAACCAATTTCTCGATTGACGACCGACATCGGGACACAATAATGATCATCGATGGACCTTGGCTTCTCTATAATTCTAAGATAAATATAATCATGACCCCACCTTGGATTGATCCGTCTCAAGTCTCAACCGGCCCTGAAAAAAAAGGGGGAAAATATGTCCTTTTTAACACTTGATTAGATTCGGATCCTCATCCTCCGGCACGTGTGACCGACTCGATTAAACTACGGAAAACCCACAAAACACCACCACGTGGCTTGTGTCTGGGGCAAAGAACAAGGCCATTTGTCATTTGATGTAATGGCAGAGCCCCGCGGCCTCCAGCCACGCACGCACCTGACTAACCTGACCGCACTGGACTGGGCGGCGGGAAAGAGATCTCGTTCGGATTTTTCTCTTCAAACCCTAAGAAACAAATGATTCGAGTTTTTCAAATTTAATCTACCAATTAGAAATAGATAAATTAATAAAAAATTTTAAAAATTATAATAATTTTTAATTGTTAAATCAAATCTGAAAAGTTTAAATTTAATCTACTTCGACACGCTTACGGCAGGACCCGATACTTGCTCTTATCTTGCCACGTGTCCCCTTCCTTCCATCGTATATAAATGCAGAACCAGTTGTCTTCGTTTCAACTAACTCTGGATTTCTGAACTGAATAAACCGTTTTTCTCACTGACTCGTTTTACTGCAACCAATCCAGTCAAACCCCTCTTTTGTTTTTAGCTTCAGTTTTCAACTTCTTGGTGTTTTTGTTGGAACCCACAAAGAAAAAATGGGAAAAGCTTGGACCTTTCTTACCCAACTTCACACACTTGCTGGGTAAAACTTCATAATTTCTTGCTTGTGTTAATTTGTGTTTCTTCTTTTGGCACGAGCAGTTATGTGACCCGCTATTTTCTTGACAACTTCTGCAGGCCAGCGTTGACGTTGCTTTACCCTTTGTAAGTAGCTCATCTCTCTCTCTCTCTCTCTTGAAGTTTATTTCTTTTGATTAATTTGATGAACCCCAATAAGGGGACGAAGAAGAAGTTGTTCTTAAGTTTTGGTTTTTGTTATAACGTGCATGTATGTGTGTGTGTGTGTGTGTGTGTGTGTGTGTGTATGATTTGTAGATATGCATCAGTGATAGCAATAGAGAGCACATCCAAACTAGATGATGAGCAGTGGCTTGCTTATTGGGTTATTTACTCTTTCCTCACTCTTATGGAGATGGTGCTCCGACCAGCTCTTGAGTGGTAAGAACAAATCAAGAAAGTTTAACTCAAGATTAGATACCACATATTAAGTTTGTTGGGGATGGAATTTTTGTAGGTTACCAATCTGGTATGATGTGAAGCTTGTGTTTGTGGCATGGATGGTGCTGCCACAGTTCAAGGGGGCAGCTTTCTTGTATGAGAGATATGTGAGAGATCAAGTCAGAAAGTATGGAGGGTTGAAAGACCATCCCAAATCCGGCAAGACATCCCCCACTGGCAAAGCAAAGAAGAAGTTTATGCAGTTCCTGACCCCCAAGAATGTGAGTGCTAAATTCCAAGCTTCATAATATTTCATTCGTTGATTCTCGTTTGATTTATTCAATTTAAAAGCCCATAAAAAGATATGGAGTGAGAAAGTTGAATTTTTATTTTAATTCCCAACTGTGCCTTTTTTTTCTTCTTCTTTTACCTTTTGAGATTGATGTTTACTATTATTTATGCTAATTAATCCTTGATTTGGTTGATGGCTAGGGGGAGCAGGAGGCTTATTGAGAAAGGCAGAGAAAGCAATCTAATTTCCCTAGTTGACTGGTGTGGATGGGTGCATTGAGTGGAACTTCTTCAACCTTTGCTTTCTCTTTTACTCGACTTTTTAACCCTACCCATGTTCAACTTCTGAAGTTGATGACTTTGATGCTCTTGTGTTCCTTCTTCATCTGTAATTACTGATCATTAATTAGTGTGCAATATATGATTAGTTTATGACTTTGATGAAATGGGACTCACCTATTAAGCATGTCACGTGCCCTTTCATTTAAACAGGATTAACTTGGATATAATTTTTATTGTAAAAATTTAGAAAATGAATGATACATAAACAAAAATATTAAGAAAACCAACAGCCTCAACCCAACCCAACCTCATGAAGAACAGAATTTGAAGAAGTTTAGTTGCAGTTCAGCGGCTGGCGAGAAGGTGAACGTGTGATATTTCTACACATTGCATGTTCATCATTTTCACGTGTTGCATCCACTGTTCTGCAACTAAGCTTTTCAAATTCCGTTCTTCACATAAACCAGTTTTACCCCGCGTAGCCCCGCCTAGCTCCGCTTAATTCCGCCTAGATTCGACCGACCAGAGAGGCCCCTCTTTGCGCCTATGTATCTTCGGCCTTGCCCAGGCAATTTCCGACTTTGCCACTATCACCAATCATCCCCCAACCCCAACAACGGCGACAAACACCCACCTCACCACCACCTTTCATGGATTCTTCTCTGTGGCTTAGCCTCATGGCTTTCTTGTCTTTGACATTCTTTGGAATCTGTCGCATAATTCATAAAGAAAAATACATCCAAAAATTTATGCATCCAGATCATTTAATACATTTGAATCGCACCAATCAAGGCACAACAATTTCAGTGGTAGATGTGAGAGGGGGAGGAGAGAGAGAGTGCGCCTGAAGAGAATGGTTGGCCGGCGGCGAGGATATGAGGTGGTAGTCGCCGACAAATTGAGGCCAACAGGGTTGGTGTTATTAAGTTGAGTGACTGTTGGAATTAATTAATTATTTATTTATTTATTTTCATTTTTTATGTTTAGTTTATTTTTTAATTTAACTCTGGTTAAGTAAGAGGCCACGTGACAGGCTGTAAGTGTACTATGAGGAGATCAAATATTCTGCATCCAAAATAGGTGAGGTTTTTTTATGATCTCAATCATTGTTTGACATATATTAAGTTTATGCCAATAAAGTTAAGAAAAGTTAAGTTTATAAATACGTATGAGTTAATAATTTGGACCACAGAGAGGCCACACCTATTTTAAATGCACAAAGTTTAATCTCGTGTATGAGTAACATATACAGGAGATAGAATACGGGTAGCAAAAATGCACCCAACACATAAAATCTTTCGGTTCTTTAGGCGCCAAGAAGTAAGAAATCCCCATATTCAAGTGTTTTTTAAGTTAGAAAGCGTTAGCATCAACTTTAAGACACCAAGTTGGGCTATTAAAAAAAACTAATGCATGTACTTAATACTCTTTTATTACATATCATGTTGTTTGATAAATAATAGAATAATATTTGACTACTTGAATGATGAGTAAGAGTTTCTACTCAAATCCGTTTATTGCCATTTATAGAACTTTATGTTTATGATCAGAACTGTTCATATTATAAATCACTCTACAAAGACCGTCTTTGCAAAAATCAACTATAAAAAATGTTGTTTAGTTATCAAATTGTACAAAAACAGATTAATGAAATCGGTAAAGTATAACGAACCGTCTATGTATTTACTACAATAGATTGATTAAATGAAACCATATTTTCAATTCATTTTTTGTAGAGATATCTTTACAGAGTTATTCATAATATGAACGATTCTGATCATAAGTACAAAGTTTTGTGATTTGAACACGAAGAACTTTAAGTAAAAGTTCTACTCATCTTTGAGTATCCAAGCATTGTTTTAAATAATATTCAGAAATGGAAGCAAAGTGGAAGGGAAAAAAGAGATCTTCAAAGGGTTTCATATCATATATCCACCAATGTAAAATGAGATATGTGCTCAATTAGCTACCTATACATTTCATATAAAATGAAACAAGATCTTCCACATACACATCTAATAAGCAGCGTGCCTCTTTCATTACCTAACAGAGTTATTTTCAATGAATAAATTCACTTTCAAACAAAAACTATTAGATTTAAATAACGTTTCTACATCCTTCCGCTAAGATTCTTGAATTTCACTGACTATATATAATTATTTATCTAAATATCTCAGGCCTGTAGTCATTAAAAATATAAGATACAGCAAAACTTGCGGCATGGCATATGTTCTCCGCTGATGGGTTTCCTTTTTGGTTCCACTCAACAATGTCCCATCTAGTTGAGGATTTATGAGAGGTAAAGCCAACAAAGCGTTTAATCCAAGTTATCCAGCAACCAGGAAAAGAAGGAAATGATACAATTATTCATATGCTTTTTACGTGGAGCTGATCTCAAAGGCCTTAAAGGTTAAACATGCAGACTCATTGCACAGAAAAAAAAACCTTAATTAAACAAGCTTTATAGCTCTTACTATTCTTCTCGTGCCGTCGAGGTTTATTAAAAAGTAAAAACCCGTTAATCTAGCTGCTATTGATGTCATGTTGAATTGCATGAATTTGATCTCTCTGACTGACTGTATCTGATGACAGAATAAGATTTCTTCAGTCGCAGGTTTTTCTGTATTGAGAGCATATAAATCCTCTGATAAATTGGTTAACCTAAAAGAATAGTTGTAAGATTTTGTTACTTTTTAGTTTTTATTAAAAATTTGCAAGCAGGGGGAAAAGCAAAGTTAGCTTAGCCTGAAAAACAAAGGAAACCAATAAACACCAATCAACCCCCACATAACTTTTTAACAAGGTTTTTTAGCCAAAATGGTCCCTGAGATTTATATAACACATCACTTTGGTCCTTGAGATTGAAAATCAATAGAAATGGTCAGATTGTCCACCATCCATTATTTTGGTCATTCCGTCATAAACTCCATCAAGTGTCCCGGAGCTCTTGGCTGAAAGTTTGGGCAATTTTCAAAGCTTCGTAACTCAATCGTTTCTTAACCAAATTCGACCCATAATATATCAAAATGAAGATAGGAAAGTGTAGAACAAGATTATATGTATTTGGAAGCCTAACAGTTTTCGGAGATGGCCGTAAAATAGTCTGACAGGTGACTGGTCCGTGGGAAAACTGAAAAACTCGCTGGAAACTAAGTAAATTTTAAACGTTCATAACTTCTTCAATACTCAACAAACTCGAGTGATTCAAAAAAAAAAATTATACTTCTTGACGAGGCAAAGAGAATGATACCTTTCTTGATGGCTAAATCGCTGTGGTTTAGCCTGAAAACAGCTCGAAAGTGGCTGACTTGGTCTCAAGTTAGCCACTTTTGAGCTGTTTTCCGGCCAAACCACTACGAATTAGCCATCAAGAAAGGTACCATTCTCTTTTTTTCGTTGTGAAGTATGATTTTTGTTTTTGAATCACTCGATTTCGTTGAGTATTGAAGAAGTTATGAACGTTTAAAGTTCACCCAGTTTCCGGCGAGTTTTCTAATTTTCTTGCAGACCAGTCACTTTTCAGGCTATTTTTCGACCATCTCCGGAAACCATTGGCCTTCCAATTATGTATAATCTTGTTCTATACTTTCCTATCTTCATTTTGATATATTATGGGTCAAATTTTGTTAAGAAACGATTGAGTTACGAAGCTTTGAAAATTGCCCAAACTTCAGGCCAAGAGCTCTGGAACACTTTAACTGAGTTTTTAACGAAATGACCAAAATAATGGATGGTGGACAATCTTAGGGATCAAAGTGATTTTTTATGCAAATTTCAGGGATCATTTTGGGGAAAAAGCCTTTTAACAATGGGATTGAGATTTTCTCTGGATTTTACACTGTAGAATCCACGGATCAGGTAATTTGAAATGTTCAAGAGAAAGAGATATATATATATATATATATATATATATATGGGCGCTGAAGAGAAAGATTACGTGTTAGGTGGGCTAGTAGGATGTGCTAATAAAATTTAAATTGAATATTCCAGATTACTTAGTTAAAGGATCTCAATCCTTTGAGATCCTTTATATTTTACCATATAAAGTAAGAGTACGATGAATCTAAATTACCAAATTAACCCCATCTCACCGTTATATAAACCAGTGTTTGCAAATATATTATGGTCAGGCAGATGAAAGACCTCCCTCAATTTTTCTGAGATTGGCTTTTGAGCTAGCTCTTCCTCATTAGAATTACCTATTACTCCACCCTTGTTTTTGGTAGAATATATAACCTCCAAATGGATCCAATCAAGTTATTGAAGTTCCAAGCAACCCACAAATACAAGAAACACCATCATCATCCTTTGAGCAATTTCTTCCTTTATTTTTTGACAGCAATAACTTGCAGTTTATTTTGTTTTTGCTCTCTGTGGCTTCCCCCTGTATATTCTTCCACGAAGGTTTTTGTCTTCGTTTCCATCCCGAAAATCAGTTCAGTGTTCTTGAGCTCCAAGTTTGTGTTCATTCTAGGGAATCTCATTGTCGTTGCCCTTGTGGGACAATCCAAAATCTTTTCCACACGGACTTGTCCATCAAATATAGGTGACCAATATGAAAGTATGAAGAGGGTCCAAAGCCACCACAGCTCTTCAGCCCACCAAGAAAGGGAAGACAATACCTTGAACACTCTTTTGGTTGGAGAAAGGGTAGTGCAAAAGCGGACTTGTGGTCCTTGTGGAGATTTATTAGAAGCTGTGGAAGAGAAAGCATTGGTTGGAGGAAGTGAGGAAGTAGTGAAGGTGAAAGAGGATATAGATGAAGATGATGAGCTCAATTTACCTGACGAAGATCAGAAATTAAACCAAAGAGCTGATGATTTCATTGCAAGGGTTAATGAGAGGAGGAGGTTTGAACTGCTTTTTTATTGATGGTCTTTAGTAGCAAAGAATAGTTGTAGGTTTATAGCAAAGTAAATGTTGGTTATGCCAGTTGGTTGGACAATGTGCGAACTGTTGTGACAACTATTAAAATATGGTATGTTAAAAATGCCGTTCTTTTGAGGCCAAAAGACTCTTGCCTCTTTTTTTTTTTAATGGTATCCATCCATCTATCTTTCCCTCATCAAGGTTTTTATGTGGGAAAAGACTTGATCGACCTTGTAGTTTTAATTGCATTGCAAACATTATACTTGTTTTATGCAAGATTTAACCTTGATATATCGCACTCATTGATACGAGTTTTATGCAAGATGTCACATTTGCAAAGATTCATTCGATCTCTATACAAGATACAACCGTTGATTTTCTGGACCACTCAGTAATACGTACAATAGAAGAAAATTGCAAATATTTGCCTAGTTTCCTTTGTTCATAGACTTCTCGAGAACAAGTCGAGCGGACCACCTTTCTCGTCTTAAACATTATATTTGTTTGCTGCCATATCAGTTAAGGGGTGTCGAGATAAACTCAAGTTGTTTTCTAGGGTGCCTTGAGCAATAATAACATGACAAGGGGTTTGAATGCGATTAAAATCACTCAGATCGACCTTATTAACCACATTGATGTCCTCATCATTCAAAACAGCATCTGAGGATCTCATCAAAGTGATATCCTAGTCATTCAAAATAAAATCTCTGGTATGATTTTCTGGTCCTCGACTTTCCCTGCTACGACGAACACTGGACCGAACTGTAATAAAATGGAGGTTTTCAACACCAAAACGATAGGGCAGGCATAGGCATCAATGTAATACACATGACAATACATAATTGACTTAATATCCAGTTCAACTACCGGTCAGCACTTACCGTTAAAACGCGAGCATAAACGGGCTCGTTTGACATCTCTAACTTGAAACGTCCCGCCTAGTCATTTCTGAAACACCACAGAAGAGGCAAGATAATGGAATTGCATTGAATCTTAGAACATTAGCATTTGAAGAAATGATAAGATCCTAATTGATACAAAGTTGTTCTGTTCCTCAACCCTAATTTGCCAACCTCAACAGCAAGAATTAGAAATCACTTAAAGATACAAAGGAAACATCCTGCTCTAATCTACTCTACTCTACATTTAATAATACAAAAAGCATTTCAAGATTTTATTGAGGGATGACCCATCCATCTAGGTACGCCGGAGTCAAATGTTCTTTGCAAGACATTAATCCGTTCTTGGACGAGAAAATCTTCTACATCTTCAATTTGAGCGTGTTCCTTCTTCATGATCTGCTCCAGATCTTCGAAGTAATTCAGTTTGAAGTGCAACTTTTTCATCTACATAAACATTCAGGACAAAAAAGGGGAAAGGAATAGGTTTATAAGCAGCAAGAATTGCAGCAAATGGGGAGAAAAACTACGATAAATACAGAGATAAAGTCAAGGAAGCCAAACTAGAAGAAAACAAAACTACAATATACCTGTGTCCCAATTATGGTTGCCATCAGATATTCAATCTCTCTATCCTCCTGATCAGCCAATAATTTTGAGTGAGCAGCAGCTGCTCCAAGAGCTGTTCCAATGGCAGCTCGAAGTTGCAAACTTGGAGGTATGTCATCTTTTCTGAAGAGTGCATCCTGACTCTCTGAGAAGTATAAAAACGCAAATTCAAATAGAGATGGTTAGGACTGAAGACAACAATCACGAAATACTAACACTAGTTAAGCAAAATATGTAATACTATTGACAGTATAAACTTCTCCCTTAGTCATTATTCCAAATTGATTGTAGTAAACTGTAAAAATCATGTCGTATAATTGGCTTTACTGCAAGTACCTGATTCGGTTGGCTTTTCCTGCATTTCCGAATCCCCATCTTGGTCTCTGAAATTGATAAGAACCAGGAAATTTCAGAACTGCAATACCAAACATAATACAACAACAAGAAGAACTATATCTGGAGCATTAGTTGGAAAAGCATATTCCAGTAGATGGATAACCTCTCTGTCTCACAATTTTTAGCAGGAGACCACAAGCCATTAGTAAGAGAATCGTCATCAGCATCAAATATCTCCCTTGAACATGAGGTTTCCTCACAAAGCACATTTACGGCAGCATCAGCTGCAGCAGCTGTAATTTGTGGACCAACCATCGTTGATATGGCAGCTACCTAATGAAACAACATTAATATTTCGTAATAGAATAAAACGCCATAATTAGCGTATGATAACGATAATATGAAACTGTTATAAAAAAAGGTCAAAGAAGTAAAATAATGAAATCAATCTCCACATTTCTCTTTCCTCATTGATGCGTGCATGTATAATTGTATATACATGTTTCCAGCCAAGATATGCCGAAGCATTAGCAACTTAACCAGATCCCTCATAACCATTTTAGTCTAAACTTTATTTATTACGCTGGGAAGTTAGCTACCTGTTTAATCAGTGAACTACTAGCATCCGAAAGAGAAGCAATGCGCTGTCTTTTCAAAGGGGGGCCTTCATTTAAAGTGTCTCCGTTCTGCTTGCTGTCATCCGTCTGCTCATGCAACTGACCGTTGGTTATGATAGTCTCTTGATCCTCAGACGAAGATAACTGAACTTGCTTTGAACAGTCCAAATTAGCACTAAAGTCACTAGAATTGCCTTTTCTGTAGGCAGAACCCAACACAAGCTCCCCAAAAGGCAGATCAATGAGCTTAGCAATACAATCAAATTTGGTCTTGGTCTGAACATTTTGAGCAACAAGGTCCCAATCATCCCCATGCTTGAAAACAGATTCTAAAAGTAATAGGGTTTCTGATTCAGTCCACTCAGCTCCATAAGTACCACTCTTCTCAACTGCCTCATTTAACGTGAAGTCATCCCTCAATCTGTTTTCCCCATAGTTTCCATTTTCAAAACACTTTGCACAAATTAGAAAATCACCCTGCCAATATAGTAATTCAAACAGATACAGAAATTATTAAGTTTCAGAACAGAAAACTAGGGGCAAATTTATTACAGATAAATTGAACGAAAAATACCTTGCTATACTTGTAATATCCAGAATCGCAATGCCCACCACAGTTTCCACAAACCAACGCCTCCTTCTTCACATCACCAAAAACATTAGAATATGATGCCAATGGAGGAAACCCAATTCTCCTCACACCTCCACCACCCCCAACCTTCCCAACTTTAGCTTGACCTGAAACTGGCAAAATGGGTTTAATGGAATTCGGCATTTCAGCCACTCGGACCCCATTGGGGACTCCATCCTCAACCTTCACCTTACACCTCTCCTCACCCCCGGCCACAAAACCCCCTCCGCCACCCGAATTCACACAGAAATTAATCAACCCCCACTTCTCCAAGAAATTAAACACCTTATGAAGCAAACTAACATCACCCACAAGCGACTTCCTAACCTCAGTGAATGTGAGCTTCCTAGAAGGATCCTCTCTATACTTATTAATGATAAAATCCCTGTATTCCTTGTACGTTTTCGGAGTCCTAGATATCGAGCTCCCATCAAAATACTCTTTCAATGCAATTCTCTCATTTTCATGAATCTCATCCCACAAAAACCAGCCTGACAACAAACAAATCAAACAAAAGCTCAGACTTTTTCTCAGTCACATACATTAAACAACAATTTCATCAAATTTAAACAGACCCAGGTGCCCAAACGCGGAGATTGTTCCAACGGGAGGAGCAATTAGCAATTAGGGTTTTGAATTGGGAATAATGCTGGGGTTTTTGAAAAGAGGAAAAAGGGGGGCCCGGGGGGGGGGGGGTGGGGAAGCGGTGGGTGACTTACTAGAGTGGCGTGGGATGGAGTAGAGGTCGAGCTCTGGTTCGTCGGGTCGGAGCGGATTAGAAGCCGGGTCGTGTGGAGCGAGTTCCATTACTTCGGACCGAGTCGTCGTTGAGTTGGGTCCGAATGATTTCTCTCTCTTTCTCTCTCTCTCTCTCTCTCTCTCTCTCTCTGAATCTCAATAGTCTGTGCTTCGGTCAATGGCGTGGTCAGAGATTCGCGAGGCCTTGGGGTCACGGACCAATCAGATTCTGGCTCGCGGTATATCCTGCGGCTGTGGGCGTAAGTTGTGTTATGTACGGATTATACGTGATCACGACCTTGAGAGTCCACGTGACATCACGTGACGGATAAAACATATTAATACAAATTTAATTTATGTTTAAAGACGAAATTGTGGCAATTCCCTTTAATTTTAACTTAGTTAAAGGAATAGTCTCTCAACTACAAATCTGTGATTCATTAGTTTCTTAATTTATCAAAATATACAGCTAGGTCATTTCTTCAACTTCGTTATAACTTTCATCAAAATAAGTACTGGTTTAGTACTGAAGTACTTTTATAAAAATGGGTATAAAAAAAAGCTAAGCTCAAAAAAGTGTTCGGTAAACATTTAAAAACAGCTTATTTTCACAGTTTTTGGTGAAAAAAAAATGAAAACATAAAGCAGCAAAAATAAGTTTTTTTCTCACAACACAGCAGAAACAATTTTTTTTTCAAAACACAACACCAAACCAACCCTGAGTCACGTCATATGAAACTGAATCAAGAGTAAATATGGAAACCAAGTTAGAAAATTGTAACAATAGTCTCTCAACTTCCATCCAATTAGATAAGTGGTCCCTTTCTTTAATAGTCCCTCAACTTTAACTCAATTGTAGCAATACTTTTGTCAACATGACTCATTTTGACAGAAGTTCTAATAAGGTTAACAAAAAGAACCATGATTACATGTTTTCATGAGTTAATGGACCAATGACTACGAATTTTTAGTTGAATGACCATTACACTAATTTTGAATTAAAGTTGAGAAATTATTGCTACAATTTTTCCTAAATTGTACAGCGGGTTCTTTCTCACCCGTCGCATAACACCAACTCTGTATGCTAAAGTATTAAGTCCAATAACCATTGGTCAAGGATTCAAAGGCAGACAAACAATAGATACTACAAGGTCACACTCTAACCAGAGTGATACAAAGTTGAAGTTGATTTGTAAGTGATAATAGGGGGCGAACAGACTAGTTTCGAAAGAACAAAAGACAACCAAATGACGAGCACCCTCCACGCTGGAAGATACTCTTAGTTCAGCCTCTGTGCGGCTTCCTTTGCTAAGAGCTTCTCCTTCGCCTTGGTCTTGGCCTGTGATTTGGCACCCATGATACCGCCTCCCCACTTCTTTCTCAACTCCTCGTACTTATCGTTGAAGTTGGCCTAGATCACATAACAGTAACAGTCATGAGAGGTAAACAAGTATATCCACATTGTGACGAATAAATTTGTTAAACAAAGTAAAAAATAAAAAATCAATCTTTTAGCATACCTTGATAGCCTCCAGAATTTTGCTGAACTCAAGCTTATCCTCATTCTTAACGGTGGTCAAACAAAGTGCAGCAGCAGTTTTCTTGTGGAGAAGCTGTCAGCAAAGAAGTAGACACATCAATATCTTCCGCAAGACATACAATCATGTTTTTGATGAAAAATAACAGACATAACTACAGATCTATACCGCTCCAAGACGGGATTTCCCCTTCACAATGCAGTATGGGATCTCCATCTTCCTGCACAAGGCAGGAAGCCATACAACCAACTCGATAGGGTCCACATCATGAGCAATAACAACAAGCTGGGCCTTGTTCTGCGAGGAAGACAACCAAGAACAGGAAACCATCTCATTAGTTATCATAACTTATGACATATGCCAATGTTCATTCATTGAAACCTAGAAGGAACAGATTAAAATGATGTATTACCAACCTGCTCGATCAGGTAGGTGACATGGTTAAGTCCATATTTCAGAACAATAGGCTTCTTTGCCTCAACAGTTTTTCCTTCAGATTCCTCTTGAGCTCTTTTCAGAAGACGTTCCCTCTTTGCAGCTTTGTCCTCGGGCCTGTACTTCAGAAGCAACTTGAAGAGACTTGTAGCTGCAAGCAGTGTTACAACTATTAGAATTGTCTGTGGTGTAAGAGTTTACCCACAAAAAGATATGGTTTGAAAACAGTAGTAAAAATCATTTAATACTTGAGACCTCCTCTACAATACCACCTTCTAAGTTTCTTATTATCAGAGCATACAAAGAAGACGAATGGAATAGTTATAGCGGAAGCACTAAAATCAGTAATCGTAGAGCTACATATCAAAGACTCAACCATCAATACTAATGTGTACTATAGCAATCAGATACGAAGCAGGATGTTCACCAAGAATCGTGATAAGGGGCATACAGGTAGAAAACCGGGAGTGTTGGAAAGCATTTTTCAGTCCCAGAGGTGTAAGCAGTAGGAAGTGAAGGTATGTTCATCGACCCAACAATACATTTTATAGAAATGTTAAGAATTTACATTTCTACTTACTTGATCAAACCAATCAACTAAAAACAATCCTAGACTATTACATTACTCAAGCAACAAGCAATCATAATGGTTGGGTCCTACCGAGGTTCTTGTCCAGAGTCTTGGTGAACTGGTTAAGTGCTGGTGGGACCTTCAAACGTTGCTTAAGGATCCTCTTCTTCCTCTGGATACGAACAACCTTGGGCCACTTAACAAATCGGTGCAGATCTCTCTTAGGAGGCAAAGCCCCACCAATACCAAACTGTTTGGTATGCTTCTCAAATAGTGGGTTCACAACCTTCTCCTAAAGACAGAAATTGGAGAAATATTCAGTAACACACAAGTTACATCCAAATTTTTATAAGTTACAACTTCATAAACAAATGAAAGACTCAAGCGTGATAGAACATACAGTTTTCTTCTTGGCAAGTGCTGCAGGTTTCACACCTCTCTTTGGGGCCTGCAAGACAAGAGAATATAAGTGAATTAAAACAAATGATACCAAACAAAAAGTAGCAATGATTCTGATCATGTCACCAAAGTTAAATGGTGTGAAAACAAATCACATTTCGCAAATGAAACAACCCAAGTGCCATCCAAAACGTGCGTTCTGTGAAAGATTGAAGTCATTACATTTACGGATGTTTGTAACAAAAAAATGGCAACAGAAAGCTGCGCAAACAAACATTCGAATTCTATTTAATTGGATGAACAAATGAATTAAAATTCATAATTCAAAAATCTTCGAACACAGTGAGCACCTAGCAGCCTGCCACATCGTGATTAAATACACATTTCCGGGGGTCTCCCACATCGTAATTAATCCTGGTATTCCGCCTTTCGGAAAACAAATTTTCAGCAACTGGTTTCCAACATAGCCCTTAAGAAATTATTATTTCAACTACTAATCTCTTTTTTCACTGAGACACCTCACTAATCTCACTATTACGTACACACAGAGACATACTTTCATCCAATATAAACATCAAAAGAGATTAGCTTAATCATACAAATTAAAACGAACAAACACTATATTTTAAATTAATTGAATCAATTTTCAAGCCCACAGATTATCTGATAATCTACATTTCACACCAACGAATGAAAAATCAGCAAATACAGGCCTCAGGCATGCATACATACATACATACAATTGAAAAATAGCCGATTAGAGCACACGATTCGAGAAGAAGGAGATGAAATTAGGGTTTGGAGTATACCATTTTCGGGTTGGTGAGATCTTCAGTGGCCTTCTGGGGTTTACGGCGAATGAAACCCTAAAACTAAGCGGAAGCTCTCGGGGTGGCGCTGAGTGTGAACTACATATAAGTGGCCCAATTGCGGAACTTGGGTTTTTTTCCGATTAGTATTGGATCGGGTCGGATCTACTGGGAGTGTTCGTCTCGAGTTTGTGCAGCTTTTGCGGCGGGCCGCAATCGTGGGCCTCATTTATCTTTTTGAGTTGGGCTTCTGTTTGTGTTGATCCAATCTGAGTTGACCATATGGTTTTGAGATAAAAGATATGAAATGGGGCCATTGACCACAAAAAACTTGTGAGACAATCTGAGACGGGTAATTTATCAGCCTAAGATTCTTCTTACGGTTAGATCCAACCTTCTAATCATTGCAAAAAGGAAAAGGAGTTTCACGTCCTTCCCTTTCGGGATGAGAGGATTAGGAAAATTGTTATGATTGCAATTTTTCACCATACTTTTAGAGAAAACATGAAAAAAGAGGCTTGTATGGAACGGTTCTTCTGTCATCGCACAATCAAAGGAGCGATCTCACAGTTCTTGGTCTGTGAAAAGATGTTGTTAGGTGATTCGTTTTATTGTTAAGAAAACTAATGAAAAGGGTTTGAAAACTTTGAGTTTTAATGATAAGGACAAAATAAAGGGTAAAGTAAATAGTACCAGAATTGACTTTTTAGTGTCAAAGTGTGATTTTTCGTTAAAGTGAACTGTACCGTGGGCTTTTTGTTAAAACTCCCTTTATTTTTCTCATTGAATCCAAACCTAAATTTGTTTTCAAGAGACAAATGTCAATATAATGGTAAAGGGTACAGATGAATTCAGTTATTACCAAATTACTTGTTTTCTTTTTCAGAGACTCACTAAATACATCAACATCTTCTAAAGTAAATGGCTAAAGCCATATGAGGTTTGTCCAACTCAAATTACAACAAAAAGTTATAACTTCAAGTATGTTTTACCCAACGATGAACTTACTAGTTACAATTTTAAAAAGCGTAAAAAACATCAGCCTTGAATAACTAATGCAAAACTCCTTAACAACATTAATTGCTTGTTTTGTTCTCCCAACCAAAGTGCTTAAAAAACGGTTAGTTATGCATCCAAGATCCGACCGTGATCGAGAAAACACAAAATTGAGATCCAGATTCAAAAATGAGGAATCTCCAGCCCACAATGACCAAATTGACCACATCACCATGGACACGTGGCAAACACCCTATGAAATTTTTGGGAGCCTAGTGAGTAGCTGACAAGTAGGAGTGTAGTAGTAAAAAGACAGGATTTCGAAAATTCTTCAATCACATCTAATTATTGTATATTGTGCAGTTAGTTTTTGTTAAGTAATGTTTATAATTAATTTAAATAAAAGGATTTACAATAATTTTCGACCGCATAATATACGATAAACGAATATAATTAGATAATTTTTAAAATCTTTACAAAGAAAATTCAAAAAGAAATCGCATTCGATTTAAATTTAGATTTACAATAATTTTCAATCAATATACGATAAACGAATGTAATTAGAAAATTATACTCATTCGAGACAGAGCCCCGCTGTCTCAAAATTTTTGGCATGAAATTTTGAAACCCTCCCTCCCTTTACAATTCCACAGCCCGCCCAATCAACCCCGAAAATTCCAAAATTAAAACCCCAAAGTTTTCAATTCCCCCCAAATTCCCAAGCCCTAATTTGCTAAATTGCACCACCCGTCCCTCTCTCAGATTCAGATTCACATACCCTAGTACCCCCTCCTAGCTCTGTGATTTCTAGGTTTCCAATTCCCAAACCCACGAATCTAGGGTTTTAACAATTCTCCGTCGAATCCTGATCCCTGGTTTGCTGTTCGGTTCCATGGCGTCCGAAGCCCTAGAGGAGAAGAAACCCGAGGACGAAGCTCCGGTGGCGGAGAAGCCGGAGGCTGAGGCCGAGGAGGTGACGAAGGAGGAGGCTAAGGAAGAGGAGCAAGAGAAAGAGGAAGAGAAGCAGAAGGAGAATGTTTCGGAAGCTTCCGAGAAGGTCACTGAGAAGGAGGAGAAAGTTGTTGAAGAAGGCCAAGAGGAGAAGGAGAAAGAGAGTGAGGAAACTCCGAAGAAGACTACGAGGGGTCGAAGGGCTAGCTTGAAGAAGGTGGAGAACGACCAGACCGAGTCGAAAAAAAGAGGCAGGGACTCGGCTGCGAAGAAGAGTAAAGAAGCTAAGGCGGAGAAGAAAGAGAAGGAACCGGTGACTCCGGTGAGTGAGAGGCCCACAAGGGAGAGGAAGCTAGTTGAGCGCTACTCAGCTCCAGAGAGTGGGCGGTCTTCCGGGACTAAATCCTTGAGCATTGAGAAGGTATGGTGGTGGGAAGAGTTGATTTTTTTATTTGTTCCTTGTTGGTCTAATTTGAATTATGCTTGTTTTCTTTGATTTCAGGGTCACGGTACAGAACTTAAGAATATCCCAAATGGTACGTTTTGCTTAAGTTTTCAAAAGCTTTGATCTTGTTAAATTGTTTGGTGGTGTGGTTGAATTGCTGAAATATAGTGGTACTGAATGTTGTCCTGGTACTTTTGGCTTCGATTCATCCATCTAGTGTTATTGAATCTTAAGTTGTTGTAGTGGATCTTAGTTTTAGATTTCGGCAGAAATTTTACATGCACATTGATCCAGCCAAAAAGAAAGCAGTTTGAATTCCCTGTAGGCTTGTAGTTCATTTGTTATTTTACCTGGATTCATGTGTAATATGACAGTGGTTCTGTTTTAGCTTCAATTTAACATTTACGTGAACTACCCAGTTCATTTAAGACATGGAAAACGTTTTAACATTCATTGTTATTAACAAGCTAAGTGGTGGTACAAAAATTTGTTTTGATGATTTTAATTGGTTTTAAATTATAAGGTGTAGTGGCTTTCTTTGATTTGAACTTCCGTTGGATGGAGAATTGAACCTAGAGTGTATACAACCAATGAAGTGATGTTCGTCTGGCTGCTATGTACTATCCAAAAACAATGAACATAAATAAGTTGGAAAACAAGAATCAAAATTTTAGTGTTACGAGTTTCATTGTGCTGTTTGTTTAGTTCTTCTAGTTAGTGTTGTCACATTTTCATCGTGTTTTCTTACACATTTTCACATGTCCAAAAAATAATTATGTGTTGTGAGGTGGAAGTTACTAGCTCATGTTGTATGTGGGGAACTAATATAGTATGCATATAAATTGTTATTCACTTATCTTCAAATTTTGTGTTACCGCAGCGTGGCCTATTTTTGTCTGATATTTGAACTGTTTCAGTGGCCTTCAAGATGTCAAAGAGAAAAGCAGATGACAACCTTCAATTACTTCACACAATTCTTTTTGGAAAAAAGGCTAAGGTGACCTTTTGTTTGTGTCTGCTTTTTATTTAGTGATTTCAGGTGCTTTTTATTCATTTTGTCTATGGTAGTCTTATCATCTTCTGATGTGTTTTAATTGTTGATGTTCTTGTGCAGCCTCATAGTTTAAAGAAAAATATAAGTCAGTTTTCAGGTTATGTGTGGGTTGAGAATGAGGTATTAATGTTTTATGCTCACCCCCTTGATCAATTTTGCATATTCTGCAGGGTCTTCTTGGATATTCACGCAGTACAATATTATAGCAATGCTCACTCTTATTATTCTTTTTTTTATCTGTTTGCAGCAGGAAAAACATCGGGCAAGGGTAAAGGAAAAGATTGATAAGTGTGTTAAAGAGAAGTTGATGGATTTTTGTGACTTGCTTAATATTCCGGTTAAGGGCACTACAAAGAAGGTAAATATTGCAAGAAACGTTTTTTATATTGCTTGAAAAGTTGATGGGTGATCCCTAATCTGACAGGCTGTGCTTATAGGAAGATCTTTCTGTCAAGTTATTGGAGTTCTTGGAGTCGCCACATGCTACAACTGATATTTTGCTTGCTGAAAAGGAACAGGTTCTGTTTCTTTCCCACTGTTTTTTACTTGCTCTATGTGCATTTTCACTTGCTTGTTAACTCATGGATCATCTCTGAGTTTCAGAAAGGGCAAAAGCGGAGAAGGAAGGCTACACCGAGTAAGGCTGCAGGTTCTGGGGAAGCATCACCAGAGACATCAGCCAAGGTGCGTATTCATTAGTCAATATTAAATTATGAATTTCTCACCAACGCCATGGATGTAGAAGGAATATTTTTTCATGATGCATTAGTTAATCCATTTTCTCTTATTTTAATTGATCCCTGTGTTAAATGCATGGTTGTGCTCCGTGTTATAGTATGGATTTATACCCAAGTATTCGACCCAGTGAAAAATAATTATTTACTTCTTGTTTGGCTGTAGTTTGCTGATTAGATTGATTTACTTGTTGAACTTTCTCCTATTCTCATTGATACTCTGATTATGATACTTTGGCAGTGCACTTTGTATTTGATGATGATGTATTGCAATGCATATGGCTTTGCCACTGGGTCATGCATTTTCTTCTTGTGTCGATACTTTGTAGTCTAACTTTGTGCCTTCTTTCTTGATAGAAACAAAAAGAAACACCCAATTCTGACAAAAAGCAGGAGTCATCCAAAGCTGATGAAGAGGAGGATGATGACAAAGTTGAAACTTCAGATGTGAAGGATGGCTCTGGTGAAGATGATGACCATAATATGGTTAATGAAGAAAGTGACCCCGAAGAGAAATCTGATGAAGAGCAAAAAGAACCAAAGGACCAGGTTTCGAGTCCAAAAAGTTCATCCAAAAAGACTGTAAAAGAAGGCTCAAAGGCTAAAGCTGGTAGCAAAACAACACCTTCTAAGAAGAAAACCCCAGCAAAATCTGCAAAAACTCCTACAGAATCTGCCAAGAAATCTAGTTCTACTTCGAAAAGAGGTGCAACTGATGCTGAAGGACCTTCTGGCTCAACAACTAAAGCAAAGAGATCAGCGAAAAAACAGAAGACTGAGAAGGAAAGCCCAAAGGATACCAAGGAAAAAGCCACTGGCAAAAAACAGTCGAGCAAGTCCCCAGCCAAGGCTCCAGCAAAGGATCAAGGTGATTTTCTTTGTGTTTATTTGCTGTGGATTCTCCCTACTTAGTTTGATGCTTCGATATCGGCTTGTGGATCTGTTCCATAAAATGCTTATGTCTTCAGAATTTTAGGAGTTTCTCTTTTGATTGTATCAAATTCGTGCATGAACTAGGAAAAGGGAAAGCTAGCAAGAAACCGAAGCCAGAGCCCACAAGAGATGATATGCATGCAGTAATTGTTGATATTCTAAAGGAAGTAGACTTCAATACTGTAAGTTTCATTATTGCAACATGACATTGAGTGGATGGTTGAAGATGCGTTAGTTCTGTTATTAAACACTTCCTCATTTACGTTGTGCAGGCAACTTTATCGGACATTCTCAGGCAACTTGGTAAGGTTCCTTTCTGTGTGCTTCAGTTTTATTTTCATAACCTACTCTTTTATTTAGCTAACTGTATAATCGTGATTTACTTCCCAGGTATCCACTTCAGTGTTGATTTGATGCATAGAAAAGCAGAGGTGAAGGCAATAATTACAGATGTAATTAACAACATGACTGACGAGGAAGATGAAGGCGAAGAAGCAGAGGAGAATGCGGAAGCTGGTGATGACTCAGACAAGGATGAAGAAAAGGATGACGATGGCAAGGACAACGATGATGCTTAAATCATAGTTGGCCAGAGCTTATACATGACCGTCGCATGCTGTGCATTAACCAAATAATTTATACTTTTCTTCAGAGGTGTGTGCCATCAGCAGTTTTTAAGAATCGATACCTTTGGTGATACCCGGGCCCTGTACCATATTATTTAACTTCTTTGTAGTGTTGAGCTGACCGCAAATTCATATGTTAGGTTTGGTTTTTTTAAGTTAAACCCCTTCCTATGAGAGTTGTTTAGCTGTAATCATGACTTAGTTTTCACTTTTAATAGAGTAGTAAGTGGGTTTCTTTTTCTTAATCTCTGCTTTCCCCCTCATTTAGTTTCTTTGACTTCGCTAATTGAGATGAGATCGGAGTTTAGAGACTTCAACGATTTCGTATTGATGGATACAGATTTCCTCATCAGCAAAGCCCGTGTCAAAGCTTATGCTGGAAAGTTTGATCAAATCCGGTTGGGGCATGAGTTCATTGGGCGGACACAGTTGAGCTCGACTAGCCCATGAAACCGTCTTTGCGGTTCCATGGCTCGATGGTTGCCTGCCTTACCTGAAATATGAAATTTGGACATGAAAGTTCAGAACGGTTCCTGGAGGGCTAATTCTATGAACCTAATCTCTAAAAACGATTTCAGACAATGGAAGTGAGTGAGAAGTCAATTCTAACTAATTAATCTCTCCAGTATTTAAGAATTGACTTGGCCAAACTTCCTATACAAAGCAGGGGTCAATTCTTATGTTCACTACCATATCAATTACGTTAGATTAGTTTATATTTTGAGATTTGTGCAATAGATAGATTAAATCAAATTCATCTAACGATAATCCTAACCACCACTTTAGGGTGGTGGGCAAAAATATATCTAGTTTGGCTCCAAAGAAAATTTTCTTGCCTACACAAGACATGGATCTTAATAAAGTTGTAAAAGCAGCACGAGCAAAGGGTAACTAAAGCAGACAAGTCCGCACAAACAACTAAAAAACTTACAACACCAAAATTTAGCATATCTAATATTCGAAACCACATATCAAAACAACCCAAAACCCTAAATGAATCATAACTACCACCACAAATCAAAATCATGCCGCCATTGAAGCCATTGCATCTAGACAAGAAGAACATGCATAATGCATATTAGGAAATAATCAATCTCCATTGATCCAACTGCGCATAATAGCATATAAGAGTTCCATAATAGCGATTAAAGTCGTCATCATACAAAGTTGGCCAAAACACATGGACAAGCCGCAACAAAATCTTTCAAATCAGAGTAGTTTATTTATTTTCTGCATTTTTGTTAATTGGGCTTTCTCCATTTTATTGGGCGAATTTGTTGTTTTTCTAATGAGCCTTCCTCTTTCAATGCAATTCGGGGAAAAAAAAAAAAAAAAGAGTGTGGGCCAACCTTTTCTGAAACTGATGGAGTTTATTGCTTTCTTTCTCGTTTGAGGTGTAACCAAGATGAAAATTTACATCCATTATTCACATCTTTCGATCAAGATGAGTATTTTACACTTCACTTAAAATTGTCGATTGACGAGCTTTTTCGGTCAACATGAAATGTATATGTATCAGAATTACACATGTTCATGTACACCACTGACTTTCCATGGACTATGTGCATCATCTCCCGCTCAAAACAAAATTAGATGGATTTTTTTAGGAACCGACTTTTCTCCCTATAAATTTTCTTAATCCTTCAATCGTGGCTATTAGTTTCTAGCATGTGGTTTAGAAATGACAAGGCCGCTATTTTTTTTTAATCAAGAGAAAAAAAATTCGAATTTAAGACTTCGTCGTATAAAAACGGCTACACAAAAAATTAGTACTGGTCTCGACAATAATAACAATAACAATTAATGATGGTAGCAAACACTAAATCCATAAACTAGGCAATTTACACCACAGAAAAAATTTATACACACCCCAACAACATCAACCAAACCTTAAAGAGCTGCAGCGCAGATAATATGCAGCCCCAGCTGTTCCCTCCCATCCGAAATGGAATCTGCAAAATCTGAGGAAACCATTTGTCATTCACTTTAGGTGTTTTAAGTTAGTACTTACTACAAGGATGTTTGTGTGTGATGGGGGCATATCAGTGTGTTGACCCTAAAAACTACCAAGCCTATATGGTGCGCAGACCAAGTAATTAATAAGCTAATTATCTTTTTTGGTTGTGTGCGGGGCATGCCAACTCGTCGGCCGAGTAATTAATAAGCTAATTACGTCATTTGGTTGTGTGCGGGGCCTGCCAACTAGTCGGCCGAGTTCGGCCGGGAAGGCTGCTGACTTCTTGATCTTGTGACTGCAGTCGAGAAAGGAACACGTATCGGCATTCGGGTTCTAGAGCCTGAAGACAAGGCTGTTAGTTCTGCAAAGTTCAATATCAAATTTGGCTTTCAATGTGCCGAATGTAGTAACATGGTAACACCTCACTTCACCGAGAAGGCTGATGAGGTGACCTCTATCAACAAGGACTCAAAAATCCTTGTCGATTGAAACTTGGATGGGTAATCAGTCGGCCGAGAAGCAGTGCTGTTTATCCAAACTGAAGATGTGTTGGCGGAAAAAGAAAATAAAAATCTCAAGATTGTTGAGAGGTTTTGCGTAGAGTGAGAGTTTGCACAGGGCAGTTTGTATGTTGAATTGGAAAGGCTTTTTCCGTTGCCACTGCCTTTGTATTTATAAGAACGCAAAAGTTTGATGACCACATAACCAACTGTTGCCGTAAATCCACGTTCACTATAATATTCCTGAGAATATTGTATTTGAAAGCAACCATATCCATGCGGAATCCATCTTTATCTCTTTGTTTTGTGCAAATCAATCCTAATCCAAGTATTTAATGGCCTCCAAGTGCTGGAAAATAATTAGCATGCAATTTTATCTTCTAGCCATGCATCTCAACCAAGGCATCTTGATCTTTCTACCAAGTCTTTCAGTCTCACTGACCACATCATGATCCTTATCCAAACAAGAGACCACATGCAGCTGATTACTTCACAATTAGATGGATTCCAAATCTTTTAATTAATTCCCACCAAAAAGAGTTTGATTAACTTAGCATCCCTCTGATGTCATGGTTATCATCCCAAATTGCAGTCACGTACCAAGTTGGACTTCCCATCTTTATCCTATGCAATCTGGAAAGCAATCAAGACTCAGTTTAAATAATACACATAAAAATGTATATTAACACTCATTGCAGTTCTTGGACTCCTCGCTAACCTGCCATGCAACAGATAATTCTTCAATATCAGATCCAACGAGCTCAGAATTCTACTCATTCTACGGCCTTGATTTCTTGGACCGATAGTGTAAAATTAGGTCCAAACACAATGACGAAGCCTTTGAGCTTACTGTAAAGAAGAAGAACCAACATTGGTATTTCCTGAATCCGAAACGGAAAACAGAAAACCTAATTCCATTCACCATCTGCATTATTTCCCTCTCGAAACATAATTAGATGGAGTTTTTCTAAGAAATTGGTTTACTCTCAACTATTTTCTCCTAAAACCTTCTTAGTCTTTCAATCTTGGTAATCCACTCCTGCATACGTGTTTCGGATATTCTTGTTTCGTTACCAGCAAGAAATGAATTCGAACTTGAAATCTCTTAACATATGGTTAAGATGAGAAAACCAAAACATTAAGAAGTAGTTGGTCTCAGTTTTGTTGTTTTAAACAAACAAATATTGTGATAAGCTTGTAGCTCAACTAATTAGGGTGTTTCCCTTAAACTCGAGTCTTGGGTTCACATTATGATTGAGGATGTCCAGATTTCCTGTCCTTATCTTTTTCACTTGTTCACTTGATCAAAATCTACAGATTAGTCAACATTATCCTTTTTAGAAATTTGATTTGCCTACTTTTAAGGTGGAGTTTATAGCTGAGCAAAGAATTGTTCCACATTGTTAATTAACCCTATGTTACTTAAAGATTGATTGAAAAGTTCCATCCAACTAGGTATATTTTTGTGTTTAATATTGAAAAGTTCCATCCAACTAGGTATATTTTTGTGTTTAATATACTAATTCCTATAATCTAAAGCAATTTCTTGCAGAATAAACAACGAAGATGTCTTATTAGGCTACGAACTTATAGCTTCGGTGGCAGAATATTCAAGTTTGATGCAAAATTTAGAGGCGTGTGATTACGATTTATAAGAGTATCGTATCATTACAAAGTAGGGCTAACTTTTTTTTTTTTTTTTTTTTTTTTTCTGACAAGCAACAATAGAGAGATTTCATTAACACAAACCAAATTTACAAGAGGTGTCAAATGAGTATATAATCGGGCAGATCCATTAAGGGACCTAGATGGCTGTGAGGACCACCCAAGTTTGGGCATGTGGTGGAGGAGAGAGTGCAGCATGTCGCCGGCTGAAGGTTCTGTAAATGATTAACAAAGGAGACGAAGATTTTTATATTTTATTAGAAGACTGTCAAAACGACGTCGTTTTTAGTCAAGGCATTTAAAAAAATTTGAAAACAAGTCTTTTTACTAAGTCACTTGAGGGAGACCCTTTCTAATTAAAAGAAAAAAGCCTAGTCTCTTTCTTCCTACCGAGATCTCCACTCAATCTCATTTTGCAGTTCAGCTTTCCCTAATTGAGTACGTAATTTCCAGTTTCAATTCCCTTTTACTCTAACCCCACCCAATTGGTCCCCAGACCACCACTAGCTATTCCACGCCCCCACCTATCTCCTCTCCACATCCACCACCTAGTTCACTTCTTTCCAGACCCCACCACCAATTAATACCCTAATTTCTAAGTTTAAATAAGTTTCTCATTTTAGTCTAAGTTAATCATATAGGGGTATATTGGAAGGAGGGAGTTCGAAAGAGAGAGTCAGGAGAGGATAATGTTTAACTTTTTATGTGAGTTGCATTGGATGGGTTCAATTTTTTTTTTTTTTTTGAAAAATTTTATTCGAACCCATATAATCTATTTCTATACCTAATTTAAAATGTAAATATGAAATTTTTTTATTCTATTTCATAATTACCGTTAAGTACAAGATGAAATTAATAATATAACTAAAATTGATCAATAAACCCACACCCAATGCAATAACTTACTAACTTAGCATCACGCAATCTTAAGATCAACCCTTAAGACTTGAGGTAAAACGGTACTGAAATTAATGAAATTGTGTTTTTGAGCATTGGAAGTATACTGGCGATCTCGTAAGATTGAAATTAATGAAGTTGGGATGGGCCCTGCTGGTGAATTAAGACAACCTTCTTGCCCTACCCAGAAGCTATCTTGGCCATCTCGTGAGCTTGGAGAGTTTCAATGCCAGAATGAGGATGAACTGGTGACCATCTTGGCTACTCAATTTGTAGTATACTTCCAATCCTCGAAAACATAATTTCATTGATTTCCTTATACTTCCGATAAATTTTATTGCAATATACTTTCAGTCCTCAAAAGCATAGTTTATTGCAGTATACTTCCAATAAACCATCATTTCATATTTCAAGGTCAGAACCTGTAAACCATTCATGAATATTGATTTTTGGTTTTTATGTTTTAAATAGGTGTAAAAATAAATTTATGTATTGAATTGAGTTTGTGAGGGTAGTTTAGATAGTAAATTTGGGTTTAAAGAGATATTGATAGCTTAATTAAAAATAATATGGGTGTAGAATGTAAGTTGGGTATAGAAAGAGGTTATATGTGTTCAAATAAAATTTCCCTTTTTTTTCTTTTCGAATATTTGATTTATCTTAATTCTAATCTTTACCGTCACAATGTAAGTTCCACTAAGATCAAATAGCGACATTGAACGAAATCCAAGATTAGTAATTGAAAAAAGTTGAGGTTCTACCATAAAATTAATTCTTCAAATGTGGAGTGTGGCCCAACTTCTTGTAAGGACATGTAACCTGACTCTGATACCAGAAGAAAAGTTAAGGTTCTATCGTAAAACCAATTGGCACTAGCCTAACTCCTTATAAGCACATGTAAATTGTAATGTCTCTTAATTTTTCGTTGCAAGATTCTCTCTCATTCATTTTTTCATTAGAAGATCCCAACCCAAATCTAATTGAAACTTCCTAGATTTTAACTCTGTGATTCGTTGATACCTCTAAGCAAGCCATTGTGAGCTGTTCAAATTCCAATCAAGATCCGTAATTAGTCATATATTAATGCCAATGAGTTCATATAATTTGACTCTAATCATGCTGCAGGAGGTATTTTGGGTTTTAATATTAAGAGCAAGTGTACCAAGCAACCTAATATAACTTCTAGATGCCCACCACACCAACCCTAACCCCTTGATCACTCTTCCCTACACCCAACTCCATTGCCGGTATGTTCCGGTCAATATACAGCAGCGTTCCCACAGCTCAATCTGCAGAGAAAGATCACCAGTGTGCAAAATACTTGGATAAGACTTCAAACTTTATGAGTTAGCAATAAATAAAGAAAATGGTTTCTTGGACTCTTTCTTTTTCTTAGAGAGGGGCTATTCCACTAAAAGTGTTTTGCGTATAAGCCCCCACCAATTCCTTTTGATGCTGCAGAACTTTCATAACCAAAACAATCAATGGCGTGGTAGCAAACAATAAATTCATAAACTAGTGAATTGAAAAACAAGAAAATATGTAACCACAGAGCTGCGGCCTACAGGAACATATAATATGTAGCCCCATTTGCTCCCTATATAAATTACAACCCCATTCGAAAGGGATTACAAAATCTGAGTTTTCATCATAACCTCACCCCTTGATATCTTTCATTCAAGCATTGCAGGTACACGTCAATTTGTAGTTCTTATTCCCTTTCACGTTTCTTACTTTTAAAGCTAAGTTCTTGGTTACATACACATATTTACAGTTATTTTTTGGACATGACGTCTGTTCTTTCTTAAAGAGTTGACACGTTTTTCTTACTTTTCTAGATTATACAAAGGTGTGTTGAGTGATGGGGGATACCAGTGACCATACCTTTGAGCTTATTGTAAAGAAAGAAGAACCTACTCTGGTGCCTCCTGAATCCGAAACGGAGAAGGGTCTGTACTACCTCTCGAACCTGGACCAGAACATTGCGGTCATAGTCCGAACCATGTACTGCTTCAAATCGGATTCAAAAGGGAACGAAGAAGCTGCGGAAGTCATAAAGAATGCATTGTCAAAAATTCTTGTTCATTATTACCCTTTTGCAGGAAAGTTAACTATCAGCGCAGAAGGGAAGCTGATTATCGATTGCACAGGAGACGGTGCTGTGTTTGTTGAAGCTGAAGCCAACTGCGAAATGGAAAAGATAGGTGACACAACAAAGCCTGATCCTAAGACTCTTGGGAATCTGGTTCATGATATTCCTGGTGCCAAGAACATACTTGAGATTCCTCTTTTGACAGTTCAGGTTCGAGTTTCCAAAAATTTCCATGCCTTCTTTCCCCTTTGAGAGATAATTTTGCTCATCCACCATTGATGGTCAACATCTCACTCAACACCGTCACATGTTAATATGACGAGTATTGAGTAGGGCTAATGCTGCGTCACGGGCATACTCTTTAATTTTGTAAGAATATATCCCCTCATAAAATGATGTCCAGTGCTTCAAAATAGATCACAAAATTTAGAACCTAAACTTTATGCATAATACTATCAGCATCACTTTTTCAGATTAAATATTGTGTACTTTTGATACACTAGAGTAACAAGTTGTTGTGAGCAATGTTATAAAGATAATGTTAAGGAGATCAAAATTTTAAACTAAAAATCAAGCGATGAGAAGAGACATGGTGCCTAAGGGCTTTGGCAGGCCATAGGCAGTTTTTTTTTACTTTTTTATTTTTATTTTTATTTTTATTTTTTATTAATAAATTTGTTATATATTATAAAATATAAATATATGTGTAATATTTTAGTAATATTTCTATTGGTTTTGTGTGGGGCCTCATTTTTTAATAAAAAAATATTGAGCCTTGCTTTCTCATAAAAAAAACTAAGACAAAAACTAATAAAGTGTATTTCCTATTAAAAAAACCCTAACTAAATAATGAAGTGCGTCACCTTCCTCCTGCAGTTCTACTCCGTCACCCCCCTGGTTTTCTCTGCATGATCCTTCCACAGCTCTCCCTCACTCTCTCTCTCTCCCCCTCCCT